ATATAAATATAATATAATATATATGGCTGAATTTTTATAATTTATATTATAATGTAGGCATGTCTACATCCTTCATGGGTAGGAGTGTATAGTTATATCTATAGAAATTTGTACATTCAATGTGGCTATCAAATATATATATATATATATATATATATATATATATATATATATATATATATATGTATATATATATATACAATCATGTATACAAGCATGAGGATATACGCATACACTATCCAGGTACCCTCTCCAGCGCATCTCTCGAATAAGTTTACCATTCAACTGCATATGTCGGGTCGTAGTGTATGCCCACAACATGCGTTCATCATCGTGCTGGTCTACTTTTTTAACAAAGAACACATCAATTTTAAACGATCAGCTTATATTTCTGGAAAAAGCTGGGTCTAATCATGCGCATATACTGAAAACTATTCGGTAGTTCAGTTAATGATTGAATGCACAACCGGTATACTATGAACGTCTAAGATACCCCCCCCCCCAACACACACACATATATATAACATATATACATATATATACATATATATATATATATATATATATATATATATATATATATAGATATTTATATATATGCATGTACCTTTGGCTTGGGTACGACTGATAAGGGCAAGTCAGGGAAGCTCTTGGAGTCTAATCCGAGTTCATGGTAGTCGATCTCATGCTGATGCTCGCCTGCTTCCATTGCAACCGGATCGGAGTGTGCTTCGTCATCATCGAACTTACTCGATAAAACAATCCCTAGAAGCACATACACACACACGCCTATTATGGTCCAGCGAATGAAAGGTACAAGGGATGTGCGCTTGGCTTGCATTGGTATCTGTCTGGTTATCTTCATCTTTACGGCTGAGGGGAATGGTTGGATGGTTAGTAGACGTAGATGAACCCCTCAATAGAGTTCAACAACACACACCCGGGTAATACACACCGTCAGTGTGTATGCAGCGTAATTTTATGAGTCTAGTCATTTAATAATAGAAGATCAGCACATTACAAGATCTGCATAAAGTTTAGCCGCATGCATGAACGAATTTGTGTAATGGATACATGGCTTAGATGAATACATACATTCTTGCGACATACAGTGACATTCCTTGGCCCTTCTGGTATGTGGTTTCCTTGACAACTCGGCCTGCACCAATAAAAATGCGCCACCTAAAGAACTGCGCTCGGTTAAAAAATCTATTATTTTACTTTTTACAATGCTTTGGCATTTCGACAGTTTTTTAGCCATCTGTTCAATAGGCGAGGCTATGCCGCTACGGCTTCAAGTTTTGCGTTTTGTTTCAGTTAAACGATTTTATCAATGACCAATATACGGGAAGGCCATGCATCCGTGAAAGAACATTCATGACACACTGCAACGTTGAATACGTTGTCTGCTATTGAAATAAAAATAGTATCAATATAATTTTCACACGCCTTTGCAACCGGATCTGTACATGACAACCGCAACTCAACTTAAAGCTAGTGGTTGATTAGCTGGTTCCATATGAACAAGTAGCCTTACATTACCACTCCTAGTAAACAATAAACAAGTAACTTCCCTTGAACACTCCTACTGAACCCAGGACGACGTACCCACTCAGACAACACGGTAACTGTACGTTCAACCAATCCACACAAAACACAAAACACAAAACAACGGGGTTTAATTTAACAATCACATAGAATCTGCAAGTACAAGATCAGGCACTTGCACTTACTTACGTAGCACATATGGGTAGAATGGCCAGAGTGTTGACTAAGACCAAGTCTAAGGGCAAAAGCGCCATATACTCGGCTACTGGAGGACAATGGATTACATATGTGGCGCTTTTGTCGGCGGCAGTGATGTTCCTGGTGTGGCACACACAGCAGGCCGGTACCAGCCAAGGATATAGAAACACACATATACCTAGTAAGTATTCATCTGTATAGGGGAGTTGTATATGGTTTGGGTGTATGATAATTATGTTTCTATATTCATGCGTCGTGTACACTGTTTAAAGAAATAGAGGTCAAGAAGATGCATTTGTGCCAAGCACTGAGTATGATACATATACTGACTGGGACAGATTCCACATCTGCAGGTTTGTATCTGCTTGGTACTATTAATAAGTAGCACACCAGAACAAAGACGGATTATAGCTTGAAATATACCCGGTTGATTGGAGATGTAGGTTGTTTTGTAACATAGTTTGCGATAGAGCAGGCATAACTGTATATTCTTGCTTTATCCTGATCAATAGTCTCTCGCCTATATCATTGTTCGTCAAGGTATCTTCTTCGACTTTTATAAATATATATATATATATATATATATATATATGTATAAGTATACACACACACACACACATATATATATATATATATATATATATATATATATATATATATATATATATAGGCACACATTCTGCATTCTCATCAGCGTATGCTCTTTTTTTACAACCGCACAAAAGCTTGAGTTTTGATCTGTCCACAGACAAAGTACAAATATATTGTTTGAATAAGCAATCTGTTTAGTGTATACACAAATCGTAATCACAGTCTCTACTACACGGTATATCGATCACAGTGCTGCGCGTGCAAGCACATTAAGCTACACCCTGTGTGTATGGTACGATGAATTACTTGACTAGTTCCTTTGGGCCCGCTGAACGATTACACTACATATTTCTCCACACCTCGAGTGCTCATTTTTGTCATTATCGTTGGTCTATTGCACCACTGCAGGGGAACAGAAGCAGACCCAAGGTAAAACGATAGTACCCAGTCAACCACAAGGGCTGAATACTCCAGGAGTGTGACCATTATATATA